TCTAAATAAAGAATGAGAAAAGAACCTACATGATTCACACAAATTCTTTGGATTAACCCAAGTATTCAAGTAATTCAGGAGAGAACTACCATCCAAGGGAGAAAAAGAAACCCAGGTGCTCTCTGAGCCTCTGCAAATAGCATTCTTATCGAGACTGTGAGCCTTCATTTTAAGATTTAAAGGGAATTCAATAATGATGCTTGTGCCCATGCTTTTTCTAACAAACAGTACAACATAAAAAAAATGTTGTTCGGAATTAAATTAATTTGTGTAAACTCATTCTCACCCCCAACTCTCTAACTCTAGGTAAATTGACCAAGAGGGCAATCAGAACACAATTTAATATTGCCAATAATGGCTGTGGTGCTATAGCCTTAAGGAGTCGGACACATTAAGGAAAACCAGAGGTATACATCTACAAAATGTTTAATTGTGTGTTATAATTATCATATTTATATAATGATTAGTAATTTTTAAATGTCTCTAGATGCTCCATGGTGTGGAAAGGGGGCCATTTTACTAAGTCCCTCTACAGCTATGTCTATTGATTTATTCCCAATACTCTAAAGAAGAGATCTTTGACTTGATAAAGGTGACTGCCAGAGATAACCACTCCTTAAACTCCCAACTCTTCTTTCCAATCACAACCCCAAAATTACCAGAAACGGTAGATTTACTCTGAGGCAGGCACCAAAAGTATCATCATATGTAAAATACTCATTTATACCTGAAATCAATAATACTATTTTCACATGTTAAATTGCATTATCAAAAATTGAGACATTCTCAGTAACCAAGAAGATTATTTAGCTAGAACTTTAAGAACCTTATCTATATATGAAAAACTTACTCATATAAGGTCAAGAGACAGAAGTTTGTTACCCTTTCACTTTTTTATGCAACCATAAGTTTTATAGTCTGACATGACACACAATGGCCATAGTCCACTAATATTTGAGACATAATTTTGCTTATTTGTCTCACTCTATCCTTTAAGATAAAAAAGTAGGGCACTTGCCGGGATGAGCACTGGGCATTGTATGTAAATGATGAATCATGGGAACCTACTCCCGAAGCCAAGAGCCCACTGCACACTCTGTATGTTAGCTAACTTGACAGTAAATAATATTTTTTAAAAAAGATAAAAATATATGGAAAGATAAAACAACATGAAATAATCTTTTGGATTTAAAGGGGTAGTACAAAATATTCCCATCAAAAAGAGAACCGAAGTCCCTTACAAAACTGTCATACACTTGTTTGACCATGTTAATAAGCTTCCTTTCTAAACAATTTTTAAATCCTCTTCTAAAAGTCTAGCCATCAGAATCATCTTCAAATCTCCACTGAATTTTAATAATATGCTTAAGCGTTTAAGAACACTTGGATGTTCTCAGGTAATTATTAGGATTTGAGGGAAGGTTTATTTTTGCTTTTGGGTCAAATGGAGACCTATTTAAGCTCAAACTATGCATATCACATGCTGAGAGCTAGAAATCTGGAGTGACTCCTCCCTCGAAACAAGCTCCAACCCTTGCCAAGAGGGCCATGTCGGCAGTAGTGGCCCACTCGGGCTGCCAGGGTACACGATGCCCTGGGAGGGCACCCGGCAACCTGGAATGACTTCTGAAATGATGCACAGGATCCACAGACTTCACACGGGTCCCAGGGGACAGACTCCAGCCACCCATGAATCCATCTCCAAAACTTCCGCATGGACAAACCATTTCACAACCCAACTTGGAACAACTCTGAACCGTGAGAGTCTCATCAAATCCAGTCTCACTCTTTGTATAATTGAAGATGAAGTCTAACCAATGACTGGAGGTGGCACGTACCAGGGCTTCCCCAAGACAAAGGTGTAGTTCTATCTGAGGCAACTAAAGCCCTGCGGAGGGTAGTTCAAGGCTGGTAGGTGGATTCCCCTTCTACCTAATTGCTTTGCTGTTTATCTTCAGCATGTGACTTCACCTCGTTGTATGAAAGGGCTATTCAATGTCCAGCCAGCTTTCTACATTCTAACCTGGAAGAAGCAAGAAAGTATAAAAAAAGTTTGACCCTTAATGACAAGACACGTTATGGAAGTCGTATATGACACTCTGCTTATCGATTACGGGCCAACACAGTCATTTAACCGCACCTGTCAAGAGCTCTGTGTAAGTGTAGTCTTCATAGAAGGCAGCCGACAAAAACTCAGGGGATCCTACTGCTAAACAGAAAGAAAAGAACAAATATGGAGGAATGATTAGCAGTCCACCTCTCCTTACTCTCCTAAAACCCTTTAGAATTAAAAAGAAAATAAGGGTATTCTTACAAAATCAGAAAGTCAAAGCCAATTCAGAAAACGTAAGGTTGGAGAAAGATCCTAAGTACAACTGTTTCACGTTTCTCATTTGGGCATCACACTACACTCTAAAGTTATTTTTGACTAAACAAAGAAAACTATAAAATTCTATTATGGCTGATACCTTAAAGACACAAGGAATTCTTTCTTTAAAATAAACTCCACTGAGGCTATGTGATTCGGATAGATCTCTAAAAACTACATAGTTGGAAAATTATAAATTACATTCCATTAGAAACAATCACAAGCACAACTAATTCTATAACTGAGAACAAGAAACTTCTACAGACTCTTTACTGAATTATTGCTTAATGTTAGAAATTGCAGTTCTGTGAAAATAAGCAGATGTGAATTTTATCTGTTTGGAGATCAACCTAAGATCTGAAGTAGAGAGCAGTATTGGATTTAAACAGGGACTGAAAACTGCAATTTTTCCAGCATTACAAGTTTGGCTTTCATTTAACAAAAGAAAAGAAAGAAAAAGACTCTTCAGAAATGAACCACTTGGACAAAAATCTTAAGGCCTATGATGTAGTGAAATGGAACACAGTGTTGATGGCTTCAAGAAAAGTAATTTTGTCAGTCCAGGTACATGTACATTCTCAAACTCAGCGTTCAGAAGCCAAACATCAAATACACATAAACCAAAGCAAATAAATAATAAGATACTAGTATGGCTGAAACGTTAATACCGTCTAAAGTCAGGATCTTTCAAGATCAAATATCTACTGAATGTTCCCTAGTTTGATGTACTTCTGGTAAATGTCCCAGAGAAACATGGCCTCTCCCATCCTCCTTTCTATACTCCCGACCCTCCGTCCGACAAACAAATCTCTTAGAAATACGAACTAAACAATTCATGATGGGAGTTAATTTGGAAGTTTTGACCAAGAAGAGAAAATGTTTGTGTGATCACTTTTAATTTTTATACTTTCCTTTTTCTGCAAAGGAAAAAAGCAAAATCCATGGCAGTACCAGAAATACCCGACCTCAAAACCAGATCCAGGGCAGAGCAGGTCAAGGTCCTGCAAAAAAAAAATAACCCAAAAAACAAACAAACGAGCAAAAAACCAAAAGAGCTAACAAGCAAGAATCAGAAACCACAGCAACCACTCCAAGAGCCCTCCTAAATGAACGAAGAAAATGTGTTGGGACTCTGCTGAGGATGACAGTCCTTAAGCGTGAGGGTAACCGTGTTGAGGAGACTTTAATAACTGGCTGTCTAGTAAGGCAATGCCATTTGTTTCCACATTCCTATTCATCAATGAACACGTCTGGGTGACTGCTGCTGACGTTGATTCACTCACTCATTTATTCCTCCAACAAATATCTGCAATTTGAACATTTACAATTCAGCTCCCCAGAGAAACAGCATGAATGAAACACACCATCCTCGCCTCCATGGAAATTACAGTGTGTGTGTTGGGGGGGTGGGTACCATAAGATCTTAGACAGGAAACTGACGTCAGTACTGCAAATACCATAGAAGGGGACGACGTGGACGTTCTGCGCCCTGAGAAGAGCTCGTACTCCAGCCTTGGGGGTGGATCTGGGGAGAGGGGTGGGGAATAAGAAAGACTTTGCAAAGCAAATGACATCTGAGCTGAGAGCAGAAAGGTGAATGGGAATAGCTAAAGAAAAGAGTGTCTCAGATTGAGGACAGAGGAGGAGTTTGAAATAAATTCATGGTCCGGTGTTCCAGCTGGTCAGTAGGATTATTTTCCTCAGCTACTGGCAATTGAACACTTACGGCATCGAACACTGGAGGCATTATTTTCGTTCGTTCGACAAATATTTTCCTGGACTCTTATTTGTACCGGGCACTGTTCTGGGCAGTGGGTGTACAGAGAAGGGAGAGGAGGGGATGAGATCCAAGAGGTGGTGGATTCTGTCTCTAAAACGTTTTTGTTGATTTTGAAAGTCTTAAATTAAAAACATTAAACATTTATTTAAGGATGAAAGCATTCCATTACTATTCATTAGAGTCACTGCCTCATATTGGCACCACATTCCCCAAGAGGCAGTCAACTATAGTGGTTATGAATATGGACCTGGGAGCCAGATTGCCTCAGTTTAAATCTTCACTCTGTCATTTATCAGTTATGTGAGCAAGACCGGGATAATTAACCTCTCTGGAATTCAGTTTCCCCATCTGTAAAATGAGGGTAATAATAATCGTTCCTACCTCATGCCGTGGTTTGAGGATTAAATGAGTTAATACATGTAAAGCACTTAGAACAGTGTCTGCTCCATTGTAAGCAGTCAGTAAGGGTTGCATATTATTATAGAAAAAAAAAATTCCAGTATAATCATCCTGGAGCTCAATTCACTCTATGTTACTCTGAATAAATAGCATTCTGTCAGTCTTGGTGCTTTTATATAACCTTAGACAAGTCACTTAAACATCATTAGCCTGAGTTTCCTCCTCTGCAAAGTGGGGGCAATAATACCAGCCTCACAAGATTGTCTTGAGGGTTAAATGAAATAGCAGATTGAAGGGCTTGCAGGCTGCAAATTGCTATGCAATTGTTGCTTGTTGTTATTATCTTGCTCTTTTTAACCCTCGTCCCCAAATTGGTAAGTGCTTCTCTCCTTAGGAGGAAGACAAAAATGAACACACGCACATGACTTTGACATAATGCTTCCTGCTCTCCAGATAGTATAGAGCGCATAAAAACGAACGCCTCCGAATTGAGAGTGGAAACGAACTTGACATCAATTTGTAAATTCAAAAGCTGCTACAACATCAGTGATGAAGGACACCTGAAGCAATACCTCTTAGCTTCTGCTTTGGGTAAACGCTGTGCTCTGTCTTATGAGAATTGACTTCTGCCTTGTCCTTTCTTCAAACAGCACTTGGAAAACTGAGAAATCAATGTCCAGGCAGCCCCTTACCTCGGGGCTTCGGGTGAGTCCCACCTTATTGCCTATCTGGGCGCCTTCTGTATACTGGTATCTTACAAGGCAGCTGCCTTTCGTCCCCTTTGATAGCCCATTCCAGAGAGAGATGGTTGAAGGAGAGGAGAGGGTTGACCTGGCAAGCCAGGAATTGACTTGCGTTCCCTTCACCCAATATATCTGTTGAACGCTGGCTGTGTGACTGGCAACATGTTAGCCTCTACGGAGTTGGCAAAAATAAAGTCAATAGAACTCTAAGCCCCAGGGGACTCAGGTTCTAGTGGGAAAGATGGACACAAACACAAATTACACAAGTCAGCGTGTGGAATAGAAGCTAAAAATACAAGTGTAAGTGAAGAAGTATAGAGGCTCAGAGATAGTAATAATTTAGTCTGACTGGATCCGTGAAAATGAGGCATTAAAACTGGTCTCTGGCTCCCCGGGAGAGATGGCATCTCAGTGGGGACTTGAAGAATGAGCAGGTTTCTCAAGTGATGAAGAGATAAGTCAGGGCCAATGCCGGGTTGAGGGTCAAGGTAAGTCGTGGCACAGAGACACAGAGGCGCAGCTCGTGTCCCCAAAACAGGGGGGCAGAACGAAGGGCCTCGACACCAGATCTGTGGAGAGGGCAAGAAGGAAGCAGCATGCGAAGGTGAGGGAGTGACAGCCTCCAATGGAGAGAGCCACAAGCAGAAAGAGGTACACTGTTCTCGGGGCCAATTCGGGGGCGGGGCCGTGAGTCACATACACATGCACACAGGCCTGCATTTTAAAAGCTAAGTCCCTCGGGGCGCCTGGGTGGCTTAGTCGGTTGAGCATCCGACTTTCACTTAGGTCACGATCTCGCGGTTCGTGGGTTTGAGCCCCGCGTCGGGCTCTGTGCTGACTGCCAGCTCAGAGCCTGGAGCCTGTTTCAGTCTGTGACTCCCTCTCTCTCTGACCCTCCCCTGCTCACGCTGTCTCTCTCTCTCTCCTAGAAAAAAAAAAATTAAAAAAAAAAAAAAAAAGCTAAGTCCCTTTACGATGGACAAGAAGCACCAGGGATTCATTCCCTTCTGGAGAAGAGTCACCAACGGCAGACAGGAGACCGTCAGTTTACAGGCTCATCTGTCACTTGAGGGCAGGGTGTGCCCAAATGCTACCCTGTAGAGCACGTAATAAATACTGCAGGACTTGGGAGCTGGGCCAGCACAAGATCATCCTGTTCACTCACAAGGGACAGGGCGGCCTCCTGGAAGACGACTGGCATACAGACACCCGATCATTTCATTAAAACCCTAATATTGCTTTATTTCTCTGGTATATATGCAGATGGATGTATATTCACATTATAAGGAGGTCTGTGGTTGCATTAACGTATTTTATTCCTTTCATTTCAGATGAACTATTTGTATAAAATGGAAACAATTAATTTCAAATGCCTCGGTCCCCAAGGAGGAAGGCCAGCTTCCTCCAATCAGCCCCAGGGGAGTAGCTGGCTCCACTATTGCATTTTATAGTTTATATTGTGCTTTCCCTGCCTGTTCCCTCCCCCTAAGAAGTTCTAGAATTTGCCTGTGATTTCCTGCCATCTATTCCCCAGGATTCCTTCCCAAAGGAACACACAGAGAGTGAGGCAAGATGCTAGGCAAGAAACAGATTGCTGAGCTGGCTCATTCCACAGCTGTCCTATTTTTTTTAAAGTAGTTTAGACAAGGGAAAAGGAAGGCAGTTACAAACTAAACCACCACAGCTTTTTATAATCCTCTGTCACACGCTCTTCAAAAGCAGGCGAAAATTAAGGTCCCCGTGATTTCAGTGGAGCCCGAGTTAGATAGGCAGATGTTGCATGATCAATGTGTTTTGAGGATTCTGCTTTGAATTTCGAGCCTCAGAACGAGGGCTGCCTCTCCCAATAATCAATGTTGTTTTCAAGTTTATCCTATTCATTTTTGAAAGTTGGAGAGCAGAAATTGCTTTAATGCCTGTTTTACAGACCAGAAAATTGTGGTCCTGGAAGATGGCGCCAGTCAGTTGAAGAACAGTGACCATTGGTAGTCCTTACGCCTTTCTTATTCTAAGAAATTGGCATAGACCCAGGGAGATGAAGACATTGGCCTGGGCACAATTCACTACGAGATCAATAAATATTTATTGAGCAGCTACTAGTAGGAATTCAAGAAGGCACAAACCAGTATGTTTCAAAGCCATGGTATTTCACAAACTTTTATGCTAAGTTAGGAAACAATACATAAATTTATGAAAACTTAAATGCTAAATAACGCGCAACCCCAAATACCTGGAGGGCCTTCTTGGACACTTTTCTGAACACTCACATGGAATATCTCGGAAGTCCCCACAGTGGGCCCTCTGTGTCAGTATGCCTCCAATGTGTCCTTCCTCCACACTGATGCAGAGGGCTGATCCTACAACACAAATCAGACGTGCTGCTTCCGTACTTTAAAATACCTGCTTTTCCCCCACTTCCTGAAGAATGGAGGCCAGCCGGCTAAGCTTTGTGACAGAGCTCTTCACTCTCATTTCATTTCCCATCCATAACCCCATTTCCCTGTCAGTCCCCACTGCCACTGTACACGGCGACGTAAAACAGCACAGACTCATGATGCCGCCATTCTTTCTGGAGGTCAGGAGTACACAGTGGGTCTTCCCGGAATGAAACCAAGGTGTCGGCAGAGCTGCAGTCTTTTCTGGGGGCTCTAGGGGAGAATCTCTCTTCTTGCCTTTTCCAGCTTCTAGAAGCTGCCTGCATTCCTCGGCTCATGGCCCCCTTCCATCATCTCAGCAAGAGACAGTGGCCGAGTCTATCTCACACCGCATCACTCTAACACTGCCCCTTCTGCCTCCTTCTTCCACATTCAGAGACCTTTGAGATTACATTAGAGTCACCCAGAAAGTCCAAGATGATTTCTGTTTCTCATCTGACTGGCAACCTTAATTCTTAAATCTGCAACCTTAATTCTTCCTTACATAAACTAGCATATCCATCCAAATGTTCCAGGGATTAGAAGATGAACCTTTTGGGGGGGAGGGGGCATTATTCTGCCTACCAAAACCACTCACCCTTTGCCCACATGCCCGCACATTCGTACCACAGTGAGGAAACACCTCTACCGACATGCTAGGGTTTCCACAGCTGCTACCCAGTGATGTTGGCTCTACCTGAGATACCATTTCCTTCTCCCTCAGCATTCCCCTGAACAACTTCAAAGTTCTCCTGCAGCTGATAATTCCGCGATGAAACCCTCCCCCAATTTATCAGGCAAGCCCGCTTTGAACAGCAATCCATTCTTACCATCTTTCATTCAGTCAACAAATATTTATCACACTTCTGCCACAAGGCAATAAATCTATTATGTGTTGAGTAGACAGTGATGAACAAAATGGGCAGGATTTCTCTTTTCATGGAGTCAGGTGGAAGACACAAAAATTAAGCAAAGAATCACATGCGTAAATGTAGATTATGAGTCATAAGTTCTGATGATACTCTAAGGAACAAGAAAGGAGAGCACGCTATAAGAGAAGCCAAGAGGGACACGGTCTGGAATGGAAGACGCAGAGGACACCCTCTGCAAAAGGGAGATCTGGCCCGACCCCAAAAGGAGGGTGGGTGAGCCAGATGAAGCAGGGGGAAAAGGTTGATGCGATCAAGGAGCTACCAGCAGCAGTGGACCTGGCCAGAGACGGGTTGAGAAGCGAGAAACAGCCGGACGTGTTCACGGGCGCCAGACCACATTGGAGAGGTTGCACTCTGTTCCTGTACAATGGGACATCAGCTTAGTGGTTTCAGTAGGGACAAATGGAATCCATTTTGCATCTTTTAAACCTCACTCTGAATGCTGTACAAAAAGTGAATTGGAGGGGTCCAGATGGGAAGCAGAAAGCAGGAATGTTTCTTACTGGGCAAGAAATATTCAGGGAAAGGAGCAGGAAACAGGATTGGAGGGAGAGGAAGAGGTAGGAGTGGCCTTTTAGGGCAAGCTTACTAGACTAATGTAGATTTCTGGGCCATGTTAAGTGCTCATTTGAAATGGTACTGATACATTTGAAGGAAAACCTGTGTTCCCAGTTTATAATTTTCACCAGTGACAATCAACTGCTCAGATGTAGCCACGGGGGAGACAGATGGTTGGATTTATCCCGGTTTGGGATTTTGCCAAGAAATATTGTGGATGGAAAATATGGTGGATGAAAACAAGGGCAAGGCAGTTGAGGGCTTTTGCAAGGAAGTGATTACAATGATTTACCACTGAGTCCTCACTGGATAAGGATGCAGATGGAGCTGGGAGACGACGGGGGGAAAGTAGGTGGTAGATATCCGTGGAACGATGCTACCAGGGTAGACTTCAACAGGAGAATTAGGAGGAGGTTGATGGGGGAAATGGGCCATTTTGTTTTGTGATTTTAAATGCCATGTGATTCCTGATATGGCAACAGCCAGAATGTGACCCTGGGAGAAGCTGGCTGAGACGGAAAGTAGGAAAGAGTTACAAAAGACAAATGACGAAGGAATAGAGAGGTCATGTCTGTGGCTGTCCGTGTGATCCAGAACGTGTGACAAACAAGGAGCTGGTTACCAGGAGATTATTGGCAAGCTGCACAACGAGGAGAGACAGGTGGTTTTGCCAGATGGTATAAGGTTCAGAGGAGTAGGATGGAGTTGGATTTTTTATAAGGTGGAGCATAAATAATAACCAGAATTGGCAATGAGGACCGAGAAGGACTCAGATCCAAACCTCGGCAGTTAAGTTATCGTGATTTGAGAAAATGAGCAATGAACACTTCCTAAGAAAACAGTGTCTTTATGGACCAGTTTGGTGCCAAAGAAGGATTCAGGGGTGGAAACAGCTTTCAGAGAGGGGTTTGGGAATACAGGGAAGGTGCTGAGTGCAGACAAG